AGCCGCTTCTGAAGCCTGCCAGGAATCACGTCAACTGTTTTCACCAGGAACATCTGTGGTAGGGAAGACATAACATCTTGTAGTTTCTTCTTCAAGTTCTCCAAAGGTCTTGTATGGTAGACATGTTCCTTTAACCAACCCTAAAGAAAAAAATCACAAAGCGTTAAATCTTGACCCATACATAAAATAGAGAGTTACTTTTCAATCATCCTGTATATAAAATGATGAATTATTTTTATTTATCTAATTAAAAAGTCTTATTTTGATATATATCCTTTAAACTTAATTACTGGCTGTTTTCTTTATAATTTATAAGTAAAATCCAATTAAAACATTGAAATTCAAGACAATATTAATTTATTTAGATATTCTTTGCGAATTTTAAAATAACAGAAAATTTATATTCATTTCCTGATCAAGAATAAAGATAGGCAGTCTAATATAGTTGACTTCATTTGAGTGCCGTCGATAAATATTACACACAAAGACGCAATAATAAAATTAAAGTAATAAAAATAATCCAGCTAAGGGAATATGGGGAAATTAAGAGAATTTAACGTGTTGCCAAAAAATTATCAATCGATAACTAGATCTGTAATATTCAATAAATAACGGACAGTTTAAGCAAAGTTCAACTAGGCTCCAAATACTAACCATATAAGTCATTGATATTTAACTTTATACAATATACCCTGACGAGTGTACGATGTACTTCCTGGAGGTCGCATCTACGAAACTCTGGAGTATATATATTTATATATACAGAATTAAATTTTGAACATTAGGATATAGGTCAGCCCATTGCTCTCCCTTTCCCCACCCCCATCAAGGCTCTCCTACGTCCATAATATGATTGCAGTAAAGATGCTTTCTTCTTCTCACCCCACCCCACTTACCTCCCAATAGGTTCCCAGTAACACACCCTCACTTTTTCTTTCTTCAAATAAACAGTTCACTAAAAATTGATACCAGAAAGAGAAAAATCCGGCGAAATTTAAAATTAAAATTCATAGGTGAAAATGGTCATTTACTAAAGGTATCTTAATTCCAAATGTGAAGAAAATTTGCTCTGTTTATTCAAAATAAACATTGAACGCTTTTTTGTGAGTCAGTTTTAACATATTTCAAATTCTATATTGTGTTAATAGGACTCGCCTGGATTATAGCAACGTATTACTACCACTCTCCTCCGCCATTAACTCTCTATATATATATCCCTATATATATACATATATATATATATATATATATATATATATATATATATATATATATATATATATATCCCCTCTCTCTCTCTCTATATATATATATATATATATATGTGTGTGTGTGTGTGTGTGTGTGTGTGTGAAATGTATATATATATATATATATATATATATATATATATATACCATTTATTATATATATGCAATTTATCATATATATTATTTATATATTATATATGCACAGTACTTATTGAAAGTGCTCAATATCAGTGATAGAGCTAACATATTTAGTTGGATTGATGTAAGTTTGTGACCCTGGGCTTAACGCTTTTGCGATAGTCAGACAACTCTTTGCCTGACGATCGCAAAAAGCATGAAACCCATGGTCACAAACTCACATCAAACCAACTATATATATATATATATATATATATATATATATATATATATATATATATATATATATATATGTGTGTGTGTGTGTGGATTAAATATGGATTGGAATCAGTCAGACAAATTGGAAATCTCCATCAGCGATAACATAGGCAATTCTTGACACTACATTTAGATATTTGAAGATTATAGCTATCAGGCAAGCAAATTACAAGAAGAGAGTTCCACTGACGGGAGGTGCAAGAACGAATGGAAAAGGCAAGTAACATAAAACACAAGCATGATGTTTTACCAGAAAGAACCTCTCGATTTTACCCCAGTTTACACTGGTTTTTTCATCTACATTATATATACTTTGTTTTTTAATTATTTTTTATGATATATATATGTGTGTATTTTTCATCTATTTTATATATATTTGTTTTTCATGTATATTATATATATATATTTTTTATCTATAATATACATATTTGTTTTTCATGTATATTATATATATATATATATATATATATATATATATATATATACATATTTGTTTTTATGTATATCATATATATATATATATTTTATCTATATTATATATATTTGTTTTTCATCTATATTATATGTTTATTTTTACATCTATATTATATATATTTGTTTTTTTCATCTATATTATATATATATATATATATATATATATATATATATATATATTTGTTTTTCATGTATATATATGTACATTTTTTCATCTATATCTATATTTTATATATATATATATATATATATATATATATATATTATATCTATATATATGGGGCAAAAAAAAAGGTATATATACATGTTTGTCTACGATTATAAAATTATTGTATATAAAGTCTCTTTACGCAATGCATATTTGACATTAATTTCTTTTCCTAGTCTTTCTTTCCGTTGTTAAGGCGTTAGTATATCACAAATATATTGATGCCTATAATAGGGCTCCTGATAACTGGATATAGTCTCTTTCCAAACGTCGCTTTAATGATGACGCCATTATTCGCGTGTTTTCTCTCCGAATAATATGCATGTAGACATGTTTTTGGTTCGTTAGCCAATCTTTACTTGCTGACAAATACGCCAGGAAATAAAGTAATGCCAGAAAAGGGTAATCTCATGAATCTCATGAGTTGACATTTAGTCATTTAGATTCGAATCATGAATGAATGTTTGTCGTATTGTTGGGAAAAGTCTAAGTCATCAAAGCATAATATCGGCTGATTTCTCATAGCTAGCTAGATAAATAGGTATTAACTTATAAATTGATAGACAGATAGATGAACAGACATACAGATAGATAGTGAACTGACTGATATATATATATATATATATATATATATATATATATATATATATATATATATATAAGTCTTTTCATATCTATCTACATATATATATACATATATATACTATCTATATATACGTACACACACACACATATATATATACACACACACACTCGTGTATATATATATATATATATACAGACACACTCTTGTATATATATGCACTAGTGTGTGTGTATATATATATATATATATATATATATATATATATATTGTGTGTATTTAGGCAGCATATTTTCATTTATACACGTTTCATTAAATAATATAGACAAGTGTTGTCTATTTATTTTATGTAAAATTTGTTCGTAATTCGGATTTTTAGTTTTTGTCTATTGTTTTCATGTCGAAGTATAGTTGTGTTTTCGACAAGTATTTTACGGAATTGTGTGTGCGGGCAGGCATGTTGTTTTAAATGCCTAAAAACAAGATGAAAACATACTAAAAAAATTAGTAAATTCTAATATATCAACTACAGACCCTAGCAAAAAA